CGACTCGCTATTATTTTATTAGAAAAGTTAAAAATTTCCTATTTTTACAATACCTGTTTAAAAAAAAAGAGAGACAGTGTACATAAATGGTCATTAAGGTTTATTGGTTGTTGTTAGGGTTTTAGTTCTTTTGGATAATGACGAAAAGTTCTTACAAGAAACTTAGAAAGGTTATATTTTGACAATACCCTTGAATAAACGTGTTTGAGAGTTCCCTTGAATTGTGTGTTTCTTTAGGTATCAATCACACAAGTGGGCAGTATATGTTCGAGGGGCAACAAATGAAGATATCAGTGTTGTAGTAAAGAAAGTTGTATTTCAGCTTCATTCTAGTTTTAATAACCCGACGAGAGTTATCGAGGAGCCTCCATTTGAGGTATCGGAATCTGGTTGGGGAGAATTCGAGATTGCGATGACATTGCATTTCCACAGCGATGTCTGCGATAAGCCATTGAGTTTGTAAGTCCCCGTTAAATGGGTTTTTTAGTTCGTTAGTAGAAAATGCGAGCAATTGGAAGAGTTACTTATGAGTTATATTGTTGTTTTGGGTGGATACAACAGATATCATCATTTAAAGTTATACCCGGAAGATGAATCAGGTCCTTTGACAATGAAGAAGCCTGTGGTTGTGGAATCTTACGACGAGATTGTGTTTCCTGATCCTTCAGAAAGTTTTCTATCTAGGGTTCAGAATCATCCGGCTTTGACATTTCCAAGATTACCCTCTGGTTACAACTTGCCTGCTCCTAGTATGATCTTCTTATCTAAAGCTTCTTTCATTCTTTAGTTTAAGTTGATCATTGCCTTAAAATGTCGTCTCACACAACAAATTCTATGATTAGTGCAAGTGGAGGATACCGGCAAAAAGAAGAGAGGAGATACGAAAGATCATAGTTTGGGACAATGGTTCATGAGTTTCTCTGAAGCAGATGAGTTATTACAGCTTGCGGCTGCTCGTCAACAGGTAACTTGAAAACATTTAACTGTGTTTTCTTAATTTTGATATTAAGTTTAGACATTTAACTGTGATTTTGGATTGGTTCTTTGCTGGATAGGTTCAAGCTCATATTGCGAAACTGAGGCGACAAATAAGTTT